AATGATAAATATATTATAAAGTAAAATTTTAACCAATTTGGATTAGTAGTTTATAAGTAATTGCTTAAAAATTACAATTAATATTAATAAAATAAATATATTGGTAAATTAATTGTTAATAAAATAAATATATTGGTAAATTAATTGTTAATAAAATAAATATACTGTATTAATACCAATATTATTCTGTTTTCAAGATACTCTTTCTGACAATTATTTGAACTAAAATTTCCTATTGAAGAAAAACTAAACTTTTGTTAGAGTTGTGGTCTAACATAGCAGTTTGCCTAGAGGTTAATGGCTTTCTCTTTCAGGACTTTTTTATAAATTGTGCATTCAACATATAAGCCAAGATCGTTAGTATACAAGTTAACTAGTAGGAGGTGTGTGCTCTTGGATACAAAATCTTGGTGGAAAAACAAGGATCTTCTCTATTGATGAAGTTACTTAAGCTATTACTTTCAGAAAAACACAGGAAAACAACAAAAGTTTAATTTTTTTTCAAGCTGCACTCTTTTATTTTTACTTGCCTTCCTGTCGGTCATCCAAAATTTTTTATAAAAAGCAAGAATTTGGCTTTATTTTCTCCAAAAGATTGGCATTATTTACACCTGCCTAATTCAGATAAACTCAGTAGAATGCAATCACGTGTTTGTTTTGTTTATCAATATGGTGCTACGATACAGAAAAAAGACCAGTGCTCTTATTTAGGAGATATTTGATCCCAGTCATGTGTCTAAAATGTCATTAATAATAAAGTAAAGCTTTATAATTAAGATATATTGATTTGTTACAATTAATATATAATTTTTTAGTATCTTGCATGGGCTTTAATAGTGTATTTTCTGGTTTTTTTTTCTTTTATCTATATATCAGGACTACATAGTTTTTTTTTTTGCTTTTTTCATCTTCATCCATTTATGATAGAACTATATTTAGAACATACTTTTTCATATATATATTTTTTTCTTTTTGTTTTTCTCTTCCTTTTTTTAGATTTTGTTTTTTTTTTATAGACATGATACATATTTTTTTTTCTTATAGAAAAGTAAAAGATAAATTATTTTGTCTGGACCTAGGTGGAAAAAGTTTTAAAGAAAGGATAATAGTCTTGATGGGCTAGTGGGCCTTCTGTTGATATTTTATTTCACTTCAATTGCAGAAGGGAATATTATGAAGGAAAACTTTGCTTATAGCAGGTCATATATAGATAATTTGAACTTTGGTTACAAAAAGCCAAGTAAGCTTTTATTTGTAACTTAGATAGCATAAGGATTTATTCTTTGTAAAATGTAATATTTCTTAGTATAATATTATACAGTCTAATAAAATAAAAGCAAAACTGCTGAATTGATCAAAAAAAATATACTGTATTAGTAAATTAATTGTTAATAACTAAGCTATTAGTAAAGTAATTGTTAGAAAAATATACTTTACTGATTTTTTATCATGGATTTTTTATATTTATATCTTTTTTACTACTTTAGTTTATATTATAGTTATATTATTTTTTTTAAAAACTATCTTAGAGTTGTTTATTATTTTGTATTTTTTAATTAAAAATTTATTTATATAACTTTTATACAACTATAATATTGCTATTATATATAATGCTAACTTTTATAATAAATCTTTTTTTGAAAATTTTTAATCTAAACTTATACTTTATATAAAGCTTGTATTTTTAAATATTTTTAAAAATTGCTTTTAATGAAATTTAAACCAAAAACTTGGAGTTAAATGTCTAAAAAACTAGACTATAAGGTCTTAATTTAACATTTTTATTAAAACGCACTTATAGTGTTTTACAACCTATGCTGCACTATTTTAAAAGCTGGCTAATTAATTAATATGTGATACTCTAAGTAAAAATGTTTTACTTCTACCAAAACCTTTTCTAAATCTTAATTCCAATTCTAAATACTAAACCTAATATGAAAAATTTGAGCTAAAATAAAAACTTAGAAAAATATATAAACATACAATAGGTGCGTTTTATAATAATTGTTGAATTTTGGTTTAAAAAAATATATATATAAATGCACAGTATATTTTATATGTTAGTTTATTTAACCATACATAAACACCAATTATTTAAACCATTTTGAAAAATAGTAAAAACTCAACATACAGTACATTAGAATAAAAATCAACTTAAAAAATTCACATCTAGTACATTATTATACGGTATATATATTATGTATAATAACGATAATAAAATGTTATATACAATTAAAGTATGATTTATTCGTTTTCAACTTTAAAAATTGAACTTTAAAAATGATTGATTAGTTTAAAATTCTTTAAATTTCAATAGCTCAATAGCTTCTATAGTTTTTTCTCACATTTTCGATAGTTTCCAAATTCCAACTAAAGTAATCGAAAGGTTCCAAAATTCTTAGAGATAAGACAAATCTATTTATGGTATCATTGTGTTACTAAGCAAAATATGATTGGTTTGCCGAATGTTCTAATACATATAATAAAATCCAAAATCTTAGTATGTAAATGGACTAACACCTCATGATGTAAATAGTAAGATTGTAGTTTTCTACTTTAGAAGCTTGAGGAGAAAGTTCTCCGAAAGCCGCATCAATTTATTTATACAATCACTTACATGAGCTCTTCTGTTTTATAGAGCATAAAAAAGATACGACGACATTGCGAAAAAGCTCAAAATTTTTTCAGTAAAGATAAGGACGTATGTACGTATGTACGTACAGTACGTACTGAATGTTGACACAATCCTTAAATGTAACATCTCGTGATTTTATTATCGTTGTATTATTGGTTTGTTTGCGCACGATGAAAATCTTTGCTGATTTAATTTAAATAAACATGAATTACAAATTGCGATACGTAGTATCAGTATAGTATCAGTATATTAATAAATATTGAGTACGAACATAAAATTAGAAACCAATCCATATAACTTTCATAAGGCAAAAGAAATAGACATTTAATTATTTGATGTTTGTCAAACAAATAATAACTAAATAACACATAACACAGAGTTTATTAAATGCGCGTGCACGCTTAACGTTAATTTAGAATAACGATAATTGCGTGTAATTCCACCATAATTCGTTGTCCGTCTACTAAAGACAAGGACTAATGCTTGATCATAGACCTTTGGTAAAAGTCAATGCTATATGAGTACCGCTTAACTTTATCCAAAATTTTAAAATTTATTGATATCATTATAGCTCATTATTCATTTCAGGATTATTAAAAGTGCAAAGAACATCTTATAAGTGTTGGTTACACAAAACCGATTAATACAAACAATTTGGAAATTGGTTTTCTTGTTATTCAGCGTGTGTCATACAACAAAACAGTAATAATATCTTTATTACCAATAAATGAAACCTTGCATTTTATTGGTGAGGCACTCACTTTTAAATCATTTAAAGCAAGTACTAAGCCGAGATTGTGACTATTAATCATACAGAACTGCTTGTGAGTATTCTAATATAATGAATATAATGTTGAATGTTTTTCCGAAAACTATAATATATCGATATTTTTATTTTTACCATGGATTACCATGATAGCAAATTTGATTTCCAAATGAAATGAAATTAAAGAAAATGACAGGAATAGTCATGCTAATGTAAAAAATTTATGATATGTATTTGTGCAAAGTTACTCGAAGGGATTATCCGACTAAAGATATTTTCAAAATAATTAATAATGCATGTTTCATGATTTCGCAGAAAATTCCGTGAGCGAATATGCATTAAATTATACATGGCATAAAAGAAATTTACCCCTGGTAAAAAGTATGAATCTTTAAAGTTGAACTTGATGGACAATAATGGTCAAAATTTTTAAGCGACAAGACTAAGCCGGAAAGATTAATGACGATCATATAACATTTACAGTATGTTATACGTACCTGAAACATTTATAGTTTTCGTAATTTTGACCTGGAATGAATAAAATGTAGGTAACAAGAGATTATTATGATGAAGATCCATTATTTTAAATGAGGAGTACTGGAGTACGGTGCAGGTTTGCTTTGATTATCAATATATTTACTTAATACTTATTTTGGATTTTTTTAGGCTTTCGTATCTTATTTTATCTTATTTTATCTTTGATCACGTGATCACGTAGGTTTAGGCCGAAATTCCAAAAAAAGATAAAAAAGATTTATTAGCATTTATAGTTAACTGATATTAAAATGTGTAACAGTCGAGTTGAGCGCATACATTATCGCGCAATGCATAAGTGATATGCATTGGCCGGATTTATACATAAATAAAATTAAGATTTTATACATCTAAAATTCTCGTGTTACTTGAAGATAATAAATTGTCTTAGAAGTTGTTCAAACCTGCCTTCATCCTTTTCACTGGGACAAAAGAAAAGGTATTGCATTTTATATTATATTTTCTATATATATATATTTTTATATAGAGTCTAAAGCGCACTTTTAAGCGATTCTTTTTGCTAACTGCATTTTGTTTTTTCCCCCCAACTTTATAATAATAATAATAATAATAATAAAAAAAAAAACTAGCCTAACGCTTGTTATTTCCTCCTGTTTCAGTTATCTCCGCGTAACGCTTTTCTGACTTGGTATCCTTTTATACGTGCTCAAAGCTTTGAAACCTGTGTTTCAAACGCTTCTTTGTATGTATTCACATGTTCGAGATTTCGCTTGTTTGCGATCGTTAACTTTGAGTAAAATAGCTCAAAAACATTCTTTTAGCTTACTTTACCCTTAACTCAAAATTTTTCTTGTTTTTTCAAAAAAAGTTTCCTGATTTTGTTAATCAGTTAGGGTAAAAGATTGCGTTACAACAGCTCCAACTGCTGTTAAAACGCTTTGCGAACCTTTTGTGGTTTCACGTACTATTAATCCATAAAAATTAGTCGCTGTGCGGCTCCGACAAGCATTTCACTCCTTCAGTAGTGCGGTCACGCACCCATATTTGCTCGTTAGGCAACTGTGGAATTCAACTTTTAGACATAAACAGGACGAATCTCTAGATATGGCGTTAACTGAAGAAAACAATCGTCGTCATTTATCTAATGAACCTGCTTTTAAAAGTTCCTCTTCTAATCATATAAGTCAAATTAACGAAAACGGTGAGCAGGAACGACGCTCTGCGATAAAAAGATATGGTACTTATGATTTGAATTGGGCTTCTTCATCTGCTGAAAATATTAGTACCGATGATGAATTTGTTGATTTTGATGATAATAAATTAAATAATGTGGACTCCGCACAGGTTGCGAGAAATTTAACTAGCTCGAAGCATTCATCTTTACAAGATACACGACAAAAATTTCCAATAATGTCAAATAAATTATCTCGTTCATCCTTTGGTATCACTGTAACAACAACTAAAGTAGTCGAAGTTTTAGGAAGTCCAATAGAAAAAACTGATTCTTCATTTATTAATAAGAATGATTTGTCTACTCGTTCTTCGATAAATGTTGAACAACGTCATTCACGTCAAGAACAATTAAATATTTCATCAGATATAAAGGTTGAATACGATCGTAAACGTTCACCTCCCTCCCCACCACCTCCAATTATAGCTCAAACTCCTCCTCCCCCAGTTCCTCAAGTGCGAGAAAAGAGTCAAGTTTCTTTTAATATTAACAACAATAATTCAACGCAAAAAAATTCTTTTATTCAAGATCAAATTTTATTGCAAAAACAAAAAAATCGCATTTCAATAGGTCCAGTAAAAAGCAAAGGTGGTAAAAGAAAAAGTTTAAATTTTACAAAGATAAATCAACCTGAAAATATAATGCCCAGGGAATCTTCATTTATTGATCCAAGATTATTGGCCAAAAAGAATAATTATCCCGTTAAAACACAAACAATAAATCGTAAATTAGTTAAACGTGGTCAAAGCCTCAGAAGAAACAAAATACCTCCACGAAACATGGAGTTTGCTCCTACTTCTAATCCTGTACTTTCTAATGATCCTACCGATATGGATGCTGATCTACCACCATTAAAATTACATGGTTTTCCTTGGTTACCAGGGCCTTCTAGACCTCCTCAATTAATTCATGCTTCTTTAGTCCCTCTTCCAAATCGTCCTCAACGTACAATTGTTTCTTCTAATACTAATCGTAATTCTTATATTTCAACTAATAAACCTGGCCGAGTTTCAAATTTAATTTCATCTGTAAATGTTAAACGAAATTCAATTAATTTTCCTGCTAATCAAAGTCGATTAACTCGAATCAACTCTTCACGAAAACGTGCTTCAATTATGATTCCTACTGCAAGGCGTGCTTCATTAATATTTAGACAACAAATATTAGAAGAAAGTTTAATGATGTCATTTGGTCAACCATTTCCTACAAATCCTCAAACTACCACTTCAACAAAACCATTAATACGTAAAAGAACGAAAAAAGGTAGTAACGCTAAAGTAGAGGATCGAGAAGCAAGACGTGAAAGAAGAAGAAGAAGAGAAAAAAGAGAAAAAAATATAATGGAAGAAGAAACTTTTGAAAATTCATCGGACAATAATATAATTAATAATCGTCAATTAGATGTAGAAATGGAAAATACAAAAGAGACCCTTAATGGTTTAGAAATTAATGCTAAAACTATAGAAACTCAAGAATTATTAACAAATAAAGAAAATATTACAGATTTCCAATCATCACCAAAGCGTTCACCAAATAATTTTACCACTACATATAATATAAATGGAGATTCATCTTTTTCATCTCGATCGGATAGAGAAAATTCACCTTTTCCAAATCACCTTTCACAACCTAGAAAATTTCAACCGCATCGTCCTCCTCCTCCTCCTCCACATCCTCCACCGCTTGGTCCTTTACATGTAACACCAATTCTTTCACCACCACCACCTCCTTCAAATTTGACACCTTCAACTGATGAAGAGTATGACCAACAATTAAAAATAATTGATGAATCAAATTCAATACATCAAATATCTCCACCCCTTTTAAGCCCCAAAACACAAAAACTTGGAATACTTGGCGGATTATTTAATAAACAATCTTCAGGTTCACCTTTAAATTCACCAGGACTATCGAATATACCGCTATCATTACCTTCATCACCATCACAGTTGACAAAACAACAAGTTTTGTATCCACGACCTCCATCTCCGCCGATCAACTCACCACCACAATCACCACCATTGAGTCCTTCACGTGCAATAAGATTACCAACACCTCGAGTAGTTAAACCACGACGTACTAATGATGCGCCACCAACTATTCAAGACCCAGAAAAATTAAGGAAAATGGAACAATTTGAAGCCTTAATTGCAAGCACAGAAGCTCAAAATAGTAAAAAGTCAAAACCAGGAAAAATACGAGCACTCACTACAGCAATAATTCCTACAACATCAAATCCTTCTTCTTCTTCAACACCTATAAACATACATACAACAAATTTAAATGCAGAGAAAAAGAAAAAGAAGACAGGACCTTTTATTTCCAATGGACGTCGACATTCTGGTGCATCATCTAATGGATCAGAAAATAGTAGTGAACAGCAAACTAATGAGTTGAAAATTGGCGCTGAAGAATCTAGGACATCATTATCATCTTTGGCTACATCAGTTGCCGAATCCGTTCATTATCGACCAGAAGAAAAGAATACACTTGGAAGACCTGGACCAACTGATGAAGATGGCGTTATTAGAGTCACATTAACACCTAAAGTTTGTCGATAATCTTAATGCTATTTATCTCTTTGTATATATGTCTTACTCTGTACTTTTACGTTTATTATTTTGTATTGTATATAGATATTTTTGGGGTGATAAAATATTTTTTTGTTTTAGGCATTTGTAAATTAATTATTAATTGAACTTGGAATTTATTATTCACACAATTCCTCTTTCAAAAAAAAAAAAAAAAAAAAAAATTTAAAGATTTATATTATTTCAAATATATCATTTATACATATATAATTAATTATTTGAAATTGACTTTTTTGTGGGTTTATAATTATCAAATGATCCATAATTTATTTATTATTTATTTTAGCTATACATTTTTTTTTTTTTTTTTCCTACGAATAATGAAAATTTTTTATAATATATTTTAATTAATAAATCAAATAAACTTAGCATCATTATTAAATGACATTTTTTTAATTATTATTATTATCATTATAATTATAATTTTTATAATTATTAATATTGTTATTATTATAATTAATGTTTTTTTAATTATTATTTTCAAATTATTGCATAAACTTTGTTATAATTTAAATATTATATTTATATATATATGCTTTACAAACAAAATATACACGTATACGTGTAAATATTTATTTATAAAACAAAATTACAGCATAGCTTTAAACCTGTTTAAATATTTATATCATATCATTATGGGAGACATGAATGAAATAATACTAAGTACGCGTATATACATACGTATGTACTGTAGTTCTCTCTTAGATATTATTCGAGTGAGATTATATTGCGCGATTTTGTGTTATATATTAGGTAATAATTGATTTCTCGCAAGATATGATATCATCTCACGCAAATCGCGCGAAATCGTGGATGCGGTAGTTTTATCATCCTATGTAATTGGCTAATCTATATTATACAATTTATTAAATACAGCAAGTCTCATATAGATTAGATGAATGTACATATTATCTAAATCGACATATTTATCTAGTGCTCCATGCTAAATCCTGATCGACTAATTAGATCGACTGTCGATAATGTTTGCATATGATCGACTTATTGGATCAACTGTCAATAAATAATAATAATAACGATAAAATCCAACGGTGCTATCGTTTTTTTTTCCCTTACATTATTGCCACGTGAAATAGCAGACCTCGCAACAAATCATTTTTTACTTGTTAAAAAACGGAAATTTTTAGTTGTAGATAATTCGTAACCAATCATAATCGCATGTTACCTAAAATAAACGATGAACTTTATATGATTTAAAGTAAAAAAGTTCTTATCGAATTTAGTCAAGTTAGCTTAGTGATGGATCGACCTTCGAGACCGTCCTGTTACGGTTTTTATTGGTAAATTCACTAATATATAGAATTTTATGTATTTTTGTAGTCCGGTTCTAAAAAGTGAAAAATTTTTTTCATTCTTTTTTCCAACAATAAAGTGGCAACGAAAATTCTTGTTCTTATTTTCCAATATTTCTCAATATGTTGGGATACAAGTAGTATTAGTAAGTGGTTTTCTAATTATTTGTTTCTAATCACTAATTTAAATAAGCGTTAAAGTCCTGGTTTCTGACATTAAATTTGTTGAAACTCATATTCTCCGTATCTGATCATACTATTTTGCAAATGAAATAAATTAGACAATGAATTTGCATGAATAATTCTATGTTTAAAACGTTACTCGGATAAGTTGGGAAATTATTGTAATTATTATAATAGCTAGCATCCAATTATCTTTATTAAATTAGCTTCATATAAACAAGTATATATATACAATGAATGTTTTAATAAATATATATTTAATTATGAGAATTTAGCTGCTAATTTCCATATTTTGGTGAAATATTGTAAATTAAAATGCAGGAGTATGTTTCAAAACTTTTAATAAAAAAGATGAGGGGCAAATATTACGTTAATGGCAAAAAAAAAATCAAATCCAAGTGTGATATTGAAAAGATCTTCAGGCTAATTTCAGAACCGAAGGACAGATTAACATATTAAATCAATCCTACAGAGACCGACTGATCAGGACGGATCGATCTATCTCTAAGTTAGCTTCGTTCAAACCGTCTACATTACGTATTAGAAAAACTGCAGTCAAATTTTTGAAGGAAGCTAGCATAAGAATCACTTAACCAAATTTGATAAAAATAAAGGCATTTTTCATTATATAAACTCTCAGTATAATTGAAGTACCAATTAAACTCTCGAATAGTCCCTGTCTTTTCATTATAACGAGAAAATCTGTATTAAATAAAATTATCTGCAAAATCAACTAAAATTAAAGAGACTAATCGTTAGCTGGAGCTGAGGGGAACGAAGTGAAAGCCCAAATTTAGGTTCAATAGCCTAAATTAGGTTCAACGTTTGGTTTGGTTTAAAATATAGTAGCTGACTTTTAATAGAATACAACTGATTTTTAATAATAAATAGTTTATATAAGTTAAAAATAAGAATTACTTTTTACAGATATTTCTCTTATAGAGAATGATGAAATCCCAAATTTTCATAAAGGTTGCAAAACATACAGTATATCAATTTGGTCACTATTACTGTAGCCAAGGTCTTGGCAAAACGTTAGTTGTGTATTAATTATTAAATATTCTAACGACCAATATTTCTATTTTAAACATATAGATTCGATTACTACAGAGAAAGATATGGTTTGACTCGGCAAACATTTCCAGTTTACAGTTTATTAATGATAATCAACATTATCGCTGTTATCGATATTGTTTTGTTTTAACAATACTACAATATTGGTTGTCAATTTAATACGATTATACTAATGACCAATTACTATTTCCGAAGCTGTAGTAGGTTAGAATAGTCTTATTAGTATTAGTAGTTTATTGAAAGGCAGTTTTACAAAAAATGCTTATCATGTAATTAAAAGATTAATTGTCAATCATACCATTAGGAAAATTAAATAAGTGTAAATTTGCAAAAATCTGCAAAAATACAGATTTTTGCATAATTTTTTGCAAAAAACTGCAAAATTTTTTATATTTTGAAATTTTGTACAGAATTGTATTTAATTTTTGTAGCTATCTAGTGAGTCTGAAGTTTTGTACAGATTTTTACTTAAATTTTTTTTGCAAATTTGTACAGAATAGTACTAAAAAAATTTTTTCTAATGCCAACTTTTAATTAATAAATTTTTATTTGTATTACTAGCCTAACCTTAACCCTAACTCTAACTATTTTTAATTTGATCAAGCTTACTAATAATATATTTGGTTTTTTCTTTAGTTGAAAATTTAATTTCTATAAATTAAATGTACTGTATATAGTTCTTATATATATTTTAATAAAAGCAAGCCATGACAAAACCCATGGAGTTTTTTTAAAATATATATATATTTTCACTTGTAAAAAACACAAACTAGTTGAAGCAGAATCTCACAATTTCACTTACTAATTGCTTAGACCACCAAACCACTTTCAAAATATTCACTTCTTATCTAGTTTCTTGAACTTCCATATCTTACTGTATTCTTTATTAAAAAACTGTAGATTTAAAGGTAAATTATTAAATTATTGTTAAAACTATACATATAGTGTATATAATAAAACAAATTTTATGAACAATAAAATAGGTTGCTTAAGTTTGTTGTTTCATCACGTATTACAAAAAAAAAATTTAATTTGGCGTGACGATTTTTACTAATAGAAGTATTTTAAAATTTACAATTGACTGTATAAATAAATAATCATCGCCAATCAAATTTTAGCCAATTAAAACAAACTTCTGCTATGCTTCACAATCGCTATTCAAAAATAACAGTCGTTAGTGCTATTGATTTGGGGTGTTAGATACCAAATGATTAACTATCATAGTGCAGCACTATATGATTGGCCCACTATATAAGATTTTTGAATCAATTTATTGAAAAATTTTAACATAGTAATTTTATAATAAAATTCATGTATTTTTAAAATGCTCTAACTCCTGTTCTAGCAAAGCAAATTCAATTCTGTAACCTGCATATGATATATAAATAATGTGGTTTTAAAACTATGTTGAGACATTTTAC